ACTTTCCTCAGTGGGATGTGGGAAGCCAAAAATCTCTGGAAGGAGGGAACTGAAGAACCCAAAAGAACTCGGAACTGAATCCTGGGAGGAGTTGAACTCATAACAAAATCATACAGAAAGGGAGATAGGAAAACCTCTCCCCTTGTAACAACAAGCCTCACGCCAAGGGTACCAATACCCAAGCAGGGTCAATTGAAGCCCACTCAAGTCAACTCCTACCCATTCCCGATATCCTACACGTCAAGACCAAGGGGTCGAGCCATCCTCCAAACCCTCTGCTTCTGGAGAAAAAGCAGAGTCCACTGGAAAAGCGGGGATGAAGGGGGCCCGCTGGCACGACGTAAAAGCTTCAGCAGGAGGAACAGGTCCTGAAAGATATTGTTGCTAGGAACGTCATTTCTACAGACAAATATCAGAAAATACAATTGATAAATTATTATAAAACCAAAAAAACGGCCAATTTACTCATGAAAAACTCGCCAGACACCAAGCAGAACGCTTTGAAGGAGACCAACGTCGTCTATGCCTTTAAATGCCCACTTGGGAACTGTAAGCCCCGAAGAACTCAATATATAGGCAAGACAACAGGCGTTAGTCTCTTTCCAGGCGACTAACAATGCATAAGCAACAGGGAGCCATCAAGGAACATATAATCTCTTCTCACAACCAGACCATCACCAGAGAAATCTTAACACGAAACAATGCTTATAAATTGGATAAGTGAACAAAGCGGCAGCTAAGAGCCTTCGATACAACAAGGAGATAGTCATTAGGAGAGGCGACAAGTCGCCAATATACGTCATTCTTAAAAAAGACGAATATCTGGCAAAAATGAACCTCATACTCTCTGACCAAACTAAATTCCAAAGGGTAATGAAGAACACTACAGCCGAATTGAAAACGAAGGTAAACAGATTGATCGAAACTGTAAACGCCCAGAAATCCGGACTCTACCTGCCAAAAGTTGTTGGGGAATACAAACCTGGGTATGCCTATGGAAATGTCAAGACCCACAAGCCAGGAAACCCTCTTCGGCCAATCATCAGCCAGATACCTACACCCAAATACAGACTGGCTAAGTGACTCAATGGGTTGCTGACTCCTTACGTACCCTGTGCTTTCAGCTTGAAGTCTCCCAAGGAATTTGTCGACTTAATGCGCGGAGCACGGGCCGCGGGGATAAGAGCCTCGTTGGATGTGGAGTCACTATTTACCAACGTACCTGTGGACGAGACAATCGGGATGATAGCAGACAGAGTGTATCGTGACCCGGCTTGCACTCTTCTTGACATGCCAGAAAGCATACTGAGGAAACTACTCCAAGCCTGCACTAAAGAGGCACCCTTCGTGAGCCCAGATGGGTACATGTATAAGCAAGTAGATGGGGTCGTAATGGGTTCTCCCCTAGGTGTCCTGTTTGCAAACTTCTACATGGGCACCATCGAGCAGAGGGTCTTAGTTGACATGGGCTTGAAACCTGCCATATACTGCAGGTATGTTGGAGACATTTTTACACAGGTACCTGATGCCAGATGTCTGCCGCAGCTGAAGGAGGCATTTGAGCAGAATTCTGTGTTGAGTTTCACGAACGAGATTGAGAACAATGGGAAGCTGCCCTTTCTTGATGTAACAGTCATGGAAAGGAGCGGAGGCTTCCATACTGCAGTCTACACCAAAGAAACAAACATAGGAATGTGCCTCAATGCCAATAGTGACTGCCCAGACAGGTACAAGAGGAGTGTTGTCAATGCTTACATCGACCGTGCTCTAAGCCACAGCTCAGGATGGAAAGAAGTCTGTAGGGTAAGGCAAGTCCTAGTCAACAACGGCTTCTCTAACGGTTTCGTTGAAGACATCATAAAAAGAAAGGTAAAACGCCATGCAACTTCTGAAGAGTCAACCAACACAACACTTGTACCCGCAAATAAACTATTTTAAAGGAACTTCTTTTCGACGGCTCATAAAACGGAGGAAAGGGTCCTGAAAGGGAGGATTTACTGGGCGCAATTCCTTAACTGTAGCCTCTGTTTAACGCAACAGTAAAATGTGTACTTGGATGAAAAAACGATTCTTCGCGGCAGGAGATCGTATTCCAGGGACTTGCCCGAAACGCTACGCGTACTAGTGGCTGTACAAGAATGTAACAACTCTTGTATATATCTCAAAAAAAAAAAAAAAAAAAAAGATATTGTTGATAGGAACGTCATCCCTACACACAAAAATCAGAAAATACAATTGATAATTTATTATAAAACCGAAGAAACGGCCAATCTACTCATGAAAAACTCGCCAGACATCAAGCAGAACGCTTTTAAGGAGACAAACGTCGTCTATGGCTTTAAATGCCCACTTGGGGACTGTAAGCCTCAAAGAATAGGTAAGCCTCAAAGAATAGTAAGCCTCTTGCCTTGTATATAGGCAAGACAAAAACGTCTCTTTCTAGGCGACTAACAATGCATAATCAACAGGGAGCCATCAAGGAACACAATCTCTTCTCACAACCAGACCATCACCAGAGAAATCTTAACAAACATCACAGAAATCATCGATAGATACGGCGATAGCAGGCGGCTAGACATCAGCGAGGCACTGCACATCAAAAAGTCCACACCAGCAATCAACAGCCAATTAATGCACAACTATATTCTACCCACTTCAAGACCCCGAACCAATATGGAAGCAGCAAGAGGAAGTATGGGCCAATAGACCTTCTGCAGTTACTTCCATTCATATGTTTACGTATCCAGCTTATATCCATTGTTTCGTGTTCTGTATTGTGTTTGTCACCTCACCCAAAACTTTTGTACGATATCACCTCATCCAATAGAGTATAAGTACGAAGAATTTGTTGTGTAAATTAAGTCTTTGAAAATGTAATACAAATTACGAAACTCGTTCAGGCGTCAGACAATTAAAAAATGAATTTCGGAGAATTGTTATTTTTATTACCACCGACAGTGAAGAAAAACATAAGAAATATTGAGAAGATTCGTGTTAGAATTATTAAACTTACCTTTTCGGTCATATTCAACAACATATGTTTACAAGAAAGACTGCTACCAAAATATAATATATATATATATATATATATATATATATATATATATATATATATATATATATATATATATATATATATATATATATATATATATATATATATATATATATATGCGAACAAGCCTGAATGGTCCCCAGGACAATATGCAACTGAAAACTCACACCCCAGAAGTGACTCGAACCCATACTCCCAGGAGCAACGCAACTGGTATGTCAAGTGGATTAAGGCGTCTTGTACATACCAGTTGCGTTGCTCCTGGGAGAATGGGTTCGAGTCACTTCTGGGGTGTGAGTTTTCAGTTATATATATATATATATATATATATATATATATATATATATATATATATATATATATATATATATATATATATATATATATACATATATATATATATATATATATATATATATATATTTATATATATATATATATATTATTAAATATGACCGAAAAAGTAAGATTAATAATTCTAACACGAATTTTCTCGATCTTTCGTACATTCCTTTTCACTGTTGGTGGTAATTCAAAAATCAATTCTCCAAAATTCATTTTTATTTCTAGTCTGACGCGACACTTGAGCGCGTTTCGTAAAACTTATTACATTTTCAAAGACTTTAGTTTACACATACACAACTGAATAGAACGTACACATTAAGACTTTCCTTAATGCTGTTGTTTAACTACACACTGAAACATGTTTGGTATTATTAAGCAATCTTTGGCTAAACCATAAAACATACTTGGTACTATTAAGCAATCTTTAACTATACATTGCTTATTTATACCAAATATTTTTCAATTATTAAATTGACACAAACAAATATCTTAGAACTGGTACCGGATGTTTGGATAAGGGACCGAAAAACTAAATTGGACTGGAACTGGATTTTGTGATAGGAACCAAATATATATTTGTCGACGGAAGGCGCTCGTCGTTGAGGTTCATCGAAAAATTAGGCACTACAAGATGACGCGTCGCAAAATAATCAGAAAAAAGTGCGCCTAGAAGTAATCGTCGCAAACAGCAAAAAGTTTCATTATAGTGTACTTCACACTACCCTCATGCAGGACACTCGCGACAACAGTCACCTCGTACACGACACCACAACACACACCTCGTGCATGACACACAACTCAACAGTCACCTCTTACCTGACACTCAACACAACAGAACATCATGCATGTCACTTGTCACAAAATTCCTCTCCATAGCCGGGAAAACTGCCTCTTCACTTTCACCGTTGTTACAAAGCTACGAACGACACTACTCCACCTCAACCACAGTTATATTTGTCGTAAATTCGACCGTCCTGGAACTCAAGCTAAGTCCTGACACCTGTTTTGAAGGCATTCCCAGGATTTACCTTATACCCCCATGACAGCCTGTAGCAGGTGCGACAGCTGGTGGGTAGATTTAACCTACTGTTTGCTCGATATTTTGCCTGTGACTTGTTCCAGTCAACGTTGACAAAAAATGTGAAGGCACATTCAGGGATAAAAGTACACCTGACCCCAGCCTTCAACTTCAGTCTCTCGTCAAGTGCTCAGGGATTACGATATTACGAGCTGTCACGGGGCATGCCTGCTTCGCCAGACCTTGCTTTCTGTCCAGATTTTGTATAGTGTAATTATTTACTAGTCACCAGTATTATTCTTATTGTGTTAACGTGTGCTTTTCGTGTGTAATTCTTGCTATTGTGTATCAACCAAATGATGTAATTCAGATGTCACTTATCTTAATTATAGAGTAAATTGTTATATTTTTTTGTATGAGTATTACTTTCACTCATGGCCAATTCTCACACTGCCAAGGTCAATGTATTTTTATTTTTTTATGTTATGAGAGTGAGTGCAAATTTCCGTCTGCCCAGTACACCCGCAGTAGTGTTACACGTCACACACTCCGTACAACAGACTCCTCATGCATATGACTAACCGCTTCTTTGTAGAGGCTGCACAAGACGTCGACAGTTAACAAGGCGTCCATCGTTTCATACTTGGTGATGAGCTCGACGAACTGCACCTTTTCCATGAGGAGAGCTGTCATGAGGCAGCCCTTCAGCTCCCCCGATGACCACGAGTCGTGCCCTACATATATAAACACTATGAGGGACTGTTTAAAGTTGGATTTCAGACTCTTCTGGCAAGATTCACCCAACTTTGGTAGGGGAATGGTCTGGGGTTCGGGACAGACATAAGCTGGTTGGGGTAGCGCTTAGTTAAATGCTGTAAGACATATCAGCAAGTATAGACATCCTCCTGCGATGAAATATGAGGTGTGATTTCCTTAATATAGATTCTGAGAGTCTCATAATTGTTTCAACGTTTCTCAATAATACATTGTTTGAAAGCAAGGGAAAAGGGAAACGCATGGTGACGGGGGGGGGGGGGGTAAGGGAGGGGGAGGACAAGGAAGGTGACCAGAGGGATGGAGACGAGGGTCAAGGGAAAGATGGGGGACAGAGTGGAGAAGAGGGAGAAGGTACCCGGATGCAGTCGGGTACCCTTTCTATTTATTTATGAAAACGTGTCTGTTCGAGACTAGACGGGTAGAGAGAATTTGGGAGATTTGGGAGATGAGACGGAAGATGGAGGAGAGGGGAGGGGAAGGGAATATAGGATGGGTGGAGATGAGAGGAGAAGAGGGGGTAGAATGGGCTGTGGGGAGAGACAGACTATCCCGGATACAGTCTGGTACACTCTTTAGTTAACTATATATTTAAACACCCTTATGCACCGGCACAGTTATATATAAACCACATAATTACATACTCATGCACAAGTATGGAAGTTGTAATGTTGATCACAAGTATGGAAGTTGTAATGTTGATCACAAGTATGGAAGTTGTAATGTTGATCACAAGTATGGAAGTTGTAATGTTGATCACAAGTATGGAAGTTGTAATGTTGATCACAAGTATGGAAGTTGTAATGTTGATCACAAGTATGGAAGTTGTAATGTTGATCACAAGTATGGAAGTTGTAATGTTGATCACAAGTATGGAAGTTGTAATGTTGATCACAAGTATGGAAGTTGTAATGTTGATCACAAGTATGGAAGTTGTAATGTTGATCACAAGTATGGAAGTTGTAATGTTGATCACAAGTATGGAAGTTGTAATGTTGATCACAAGTATGGAAGTTGTAATGTTGATCACAAGTATGGAAGTTGTAATGTTGATCACAAGTATGGAAGTTGTAATGTTGATCACAAGTATGGAAGTTGTAATGTTGATCACAAGTATGGAAGTTGTAATGTTGATCACAAGTATGGAAGTTGTAATGTTGATCACAAGTATGGAAGTTGTAATGTTGATCACAAGTATGGAAGTTGTAATGTTGATCACAAGTATGGAAGTTGTAATGTTGATCACAAGTATGGAAGTTGTAATGTTGATCACAAGTATGGAAGTTGTAATGTTGTTATGGAAGTTGTAATGTTGATCACAAGTATGGAAGTTGTAATGTTGATCACAAGTATGGAAGTTGTAATGTTGATCACAAGTATGGAAGTTGTAATGTTGATCACAAGTATGGAAGTTGTAATGTTGATCACAAGTATGGAAGTTGTAATGTTGATCACAAGTATGGAAGTTGTAATGTTGATCACAAGTATGGAAGTTGTAATGTTGATCACAAGTATGGAAGTTGTAATGTTGATCACAAGTATGGAAGTTGTAATGTTGATCACAAGTATGGAAGTTGTAATGTTGATCACAAGTATGGAAGTTGTAATGTTGATCACAAGTATGGAAGTTGTAATGTTGATCACAAGTATGGAAGTTGTAATGTTGATCACAAGTATGGAAGTTGTAATGTTGATCACAAGTATGGAAGTTGTAATGTTGATCACAAGTATGGAAGTTGTAATGTTGATCACAAGTATGGAAGTTGTAATGTTGATCACAAGTATGGAAGTTGTAATGTTGATCACAAGTATGGAAGTTGTAATGTTGTATGGAAGTTGTAATGTTGATCACAAGTATGGAAGTTGTAATGTTGATCACAAGTATGGAAGTTGTAATGTTGATCACAAGTATGGAAGTTGTAATGTTGATCACAAGTATGGAAGTTGTAATGTTGATCACAAGTATGGAAGTTGTAATGTTGATCACAAGTATGGAAGTTGTAATGTTGATCACAAGTATGGAAGTTGTAATGTTGATCACAAGTATGGAAGTTGTAATGTTGATCACAAGTATGGAAGTTGTAATGTTGATCACAAGTATGGAAGTTGTAATGTTGATCACAAGTATGGAAGTTGTAATGTTGATCACAAGTATGGAAGTTGTAATGTTGATCACAAGTATGGAAGTTGTAATGTTGATCACAAGTATGGAAGTTGTAATGTTGATCACAAGTATGGAAGTTGTAATGTTGATCACAAGTATGGAAGTTGTAATGTTGATCACAAGTATGGAAGTTGTAATGTTGATCACAAGTTGATCACAAGTATGGAAGTTGTAATGTTGATCACAAGTATGGAAGTTGTAATGTTGATCACAAGTATGGAAGTTGTAATGTTGATCACAAGTATGGAAGTTGTAATGTTGATCACAAGTATGGAAGTTGTAATGTTGATCACAAGTATGGAAGTTGTAATGTTGATCACAAGTATGGAAGTTGTAATGTTGATCACAAGTATGGAAGTTGTAATGTATCACAAGTATGGAAGTTGTAATGTTGATCACAAGTATGGAAGTTGTAATGTTGATCACAAGTATGGAAGTTGTAATGTTGATCACAAGTATGGAAGTTGTAATGTTGATCACAAGTATGGAAGTTGTAATGTTGATCACAAGTATGGAAGTTGTAATGTTGATCACAAGTATGGAAGTTGTAATGTTGATCACAAGTATGGAAGTTGTAATGTTGATCACAAGTATGGAAGTTGTAATGTTGATCACAAGTATGGAAGTTGTAATGTTGATCACAAGTATGGAAGTTGTAATGTTGATCACAAGTATGGAAGTTGTAATGTTGATCACAAGTATGGAAGTTGTAATGTTGATCACAAGTATGGAAGTTGTAATGTTGATCACAAGTATGGAAGTTGTAATGTTGATCACAAGTATGGAAGTTGTAATGTTGATCACAAGTATGGAAGTTGTAATGTTGATCACAAGTATGGAAGTTGTAATGTTGATCACAAGTATGGAAGTTGTAATGTTGATCACAAGTATGGAAGTTGTAATGTTGATCACAAGTATGGAAGTTGTAATGTTGATCACAAGTATGGAAGTTGTAATGTTGATCACAAGTATGGAAGTTGTAATGTTGATCACAAGTATGGAAGTTGTAATGTTGATCACAAGTATGGAAGTTGTAATGTTGATCACAAGTATGGAAGTTGTAATGTTGATCACAAGTATGGAAGTTGTAATGTTGATCACAAGTATGGAAGTTGTATGGAACAAGTATGGAAGTTGTAATGTTGATCACAAGTATGGAAGTTGTAATGTTGATCACAAGTATGGAAGTTGTAATGTTGATCACAAGTATGGAAGTTGTAATGTTGATCACAAGTATGGAAGTTGTAATGTTGATCACAAGTATGGAAGTTGTAATGTTGATCACAAGTATGGAAGTTGTAATGTTGATCACAAGTATGGAAGTTGTAATGTTGATCACAAGTATGGAAGTTGTAATGTTGATCACAAGTATGGAAGTTGTAATCACAAGTATGATCACAAGTATGGAAGTTGTAATGTTGATCACAAGTATGGAAGTTGTAATGTTGATCACAAGTATGGAAGTTGTAATGTTGATCACAAGTATGGAAGTTGTAATGTTGATCACAAGTATGGAAGTTGTAATGTTGATCACAAGTATGGAAGTTGTAATGTTGATCACAAGTATGGAAGTTGTAATGTTGATCACAAGTATGGAAGTTGTAATGTTGATCACAAGTATGGAAGTTGTAATGTTGATCACAAGTATGGAAGTTGTAATGTTGATCACAAGTATGGAAGTTGTTGATCACAAGTATGGAAGTTGTAATGTTGATCACAAGTATGGAAGTTGTAATGTTGATCACAAGTATGGAAGTTGTAATGTTGATCACAAGTATGGAAGTTGTAATGTTGATCACAAGTATGGAAGTTGTAATGTTGATCACAAGTATGGAAGTTGTAATGTTGATCACAAGTATGGAAGTTGTAATGTTGATCACAAGTATGGAAGTTGTAATGTTGATCACAAGTATGGAAGTTGTAATGTTGATCACAAGTATGGAAGTTGTAATGTTGATCACAAGTATGGAAGTTGTAATGTTGATCACAAGTATGGAAGTTGTAATGTTGATCACAAGTATGGAAGTTGTAATGTTGATCACAAGTATGGAAGTTGTAATGTTGATCACAAGTATGGAAGTTGTAATGTTGATCACAAGTATGGAAGTTGTAATGTTGATCACAAGTATGGAAGTTGTAATGTTGATCACAAGTATGGAAGTTGTAATGTTGATCACAAGTATGGAAGTTGTAATGTTGATCACAAGTATGGAAGTTGTAATGTTGATCACAAGTATGGAAGTTGTAATGTTGATCACAAGTATGGAAGTTGTAATGTTGATCACAAGTATGGAAGTTGTAATGTTGATCACAAGTATGGAAGTTGTAATGTTGATCACAAGTATGGAAGTTGTAATGTTGATCACAAGTATGGAAGTTGTAATGTTGATCACAAGTATGGAAGTTGTAATGTTGATCACAAGTATGGAAGTTGTAATGTTGATCACAAGTATGGAAGTTGTAATGTTGATCACAAGTATGGAAGTTGTAATGTTGATCACAAGTATGGAAGTTGTAATGTTGATCACAAGTATGGAAGTTGTAATGTTGATCACAAGTATGGAAGTTGTAATGTTGATCACAAGTATGGAAGTTGTAATGTTGATCACAAGTATGGAAGTTGTAATGTTGATCACAAGTATGGAAGAAGTTGTAATGTTGATCACAAGTATGGAAGTTGTAATGTTGATCACAAGTATGGAAGTTGTAATGTTGATCACAAGTATGGAAGTTGTAATGTTGATCACAAGTATGGAAGTTGTAATGTTGATCACAAGTATGGAAGTTGTAATGTTG